TAAACATGGATCTATCCACATTCTTCTACATGCCAGCATCCAGTTATGCCAGTACCATTTGTTGAAGGTGCTTTCTTTTTTCCATTGTATATTTTTAGCTTCTTTGTCGAAGATCAGATGTTCATACATGTATGGGTTAATATCAGGGTATTCAATTTGACTCCATGGGTCTACCTGTCTATTTTTGTGCCAATACCAACCTGTTTCCAGGAATATAACTGTTTAATAGAGCTTGAAATCAGGGATGGTGATGCCTCCAGACATTGCTTTGTTGAATAGGGTTGTTTTGGCTATCCTGTGTCTTTTGTTTTTCCATATAAAGTTAATTATCTGTAAATTACTTTTGGCAGGATTATCATTTTTACTACGTGGATCTTACGTATCCAAGAGCATGGGAGATTTTTCCATTTTCTGGTATTTTCTTTAATTTCTCTCTTTAAAGACTCAAAGTTCTTCATATATAGGTCTTTCACTTGTTTAGTTAGCATTACCCCAAGATATTTTATGTTGTTTGTGGCAATTGTAAAGGGTGATGTTTCTCTGATTTCTTTGTCAGCCCTTTTATCATCTGTATATAGTAGAGCTACTGATTTTCTTGAGTTGATCTTGAATCCTGCCACTTTGCTGAAAGTATTTATCAGCTGTAGGAGTTCCCTGGTAGGGTTTTTTGGGTCCCTCATGTAAACTATCATATCATCTGCAAATAGTGAAGATTTGACCTCTTCCTTTCCAATTTGTATTTCCTTGATATCCTTTTGTTGTCGTATTGCTCTAGCTAGAACTTCAAGTACAATATTGAAGAGGTATGGAGAGAGTGGACAGCCTTGTCTTGTTCCTGATTTTAGAGGAATCGCGTTGAGCTTCTTTCCATTTACTTTGATGTTGGCTGTTGGTTTACTGTATATAGCTTTTATTATGTTTAGGTATGTTCCTGTTATCCTGGATCTCTCCAAGACCTTTCTGATGAAGGGGTGTTGGATTTTGTCAAAGGCTTTTTCAGCATCTAGTGAGATCATCATGAGATTTTTGTTTCTCAGCTTGTTTCTATGGAGGATTACATTGATGGATTTTTGTACATTGGATCATTCTTGCATCCCTGTGATGAAACCTACTTGATCATGGTGAATGATTGTTTTGATGTGTTCTTGGATTCTATTTGCCTGTCTTTTATTGAGTATTTTTGAACATCAAAATTTGGACGCTACTCCTATAAGAAAACATTTAAGTAAACATAACTTTTAAGGGATAACATTTTGGCTTAAATGTTTTAGTTTTTCCTAAATAGGATTAAAATTCCAGTTTATGTGCTAAATGTGAAAGTCAAACATGGATTCTATATTTGAAAATAAGGAGAATGGCTACTTTAACGTGAAATTCTCTAGAAAGATTTTTCTGTCTTATTTAATTAATTGTTTTCATTTATTTTACACAGCAACCACAGTTTCCATTCCCTCCTCTCCTGCCATCCCCTCCCCTTCCGCACCTGTTTTCTCCTCCCCCATCCACTCCTCCTCCCTCCATCTCTATTTAGAAAGGGGCAGGTCTCCTATGAGAGTCAACAAAGCATTGCACATCAAGTTGAGGCAGAACCAAACTTCTCCCCCTGCATCAAGACATTCCAGCATGGAGAATAGTGGGAGCTTAAGGACTCTAGACTGATAGCTAGGGAGCCTGCATGCGACTGATGCAGGCCTTCTGCATGTGGGTGACAGCTGTGTGTAGCTTGGTCTGTTTGTGGAACCCCTAACAGTGGGATCAGGACCTGTCCCCAGTGAATTAGCTGGCATTTTAGAAAGATTTAATTGAACAATTAACATGTGTGCTGTCTGTAATTTGCTATGCCTAGGCACTAAATATGAAACTGTCTGGAGACATAGTGGATACATGTAAAACTGGATTTCAATCCTTTCTTTCCTGTACCTGCACCTTTAGTCTTCCTTGGGTGCATCTTACTTGTCAAAATACTTTTACTACCTGTTTTGATGTTCCATCTATATAAGGTTTATATGAAAATAAATACAAGCCCATTGGTTGATTCTTTTGGTAAAGTCAAATTCATTGTTTTTATAGGGTTTTGTTGTTTTGAGACAGGCTCTCATTTAGCCCCAGGGTGGCCTTGAACTCCTGATCCTCCTGCATCTGCTTCCCAAATACTGGAAGTACAAGCATATGTCACCACAGCTGGCTTGGGATGACTTTTCTGATGTAAACTTTCAAGTTATTATAATTACTACTAGATTCCCATAAAACATCCAGTTATTTTGAATAGCAGGGTTAAAATTCTTTAGTATCATTACAAACCAGAATGCTACTGTAACTTGTGAATTGGCAGCCATTTGAAGAATGAATGATACCAGATGCATCTTACAGAAGACTTCCATTTCTTCAATACTTGGGGTAAAGATTATTTAGGAGACAAATCAGAAGATAAGGAAGGTATTGTTACAGTAAATGGGGTAAAATCAGTAGCTTGTACTGACATTTCAAGTTATACTCCCTAATTTAGATTACGGTTTCAACTAGGTTTAGAGCATCAGTGAACATAATCCTGCCGGAAAACACTTAACAGTTCAACTGTAGCTTTTCTTCTAACACATCATGAAATAGGTACTTTGTGCAAGAGGGATCTAGTTAGAAACCTTGAAAAACATGTCTACTTGTCAAATACCACATTCATTAACATAGCTAACAGCATCAAAATCATGAGTGAGCAGTCAAAAGTCTAGAAAACAATTAACAGCTTTGAAAACAAATCTATTCTGTAATAATTCTAAATATCAATGTGAATATTTAATTTAACGTTCAAACACATTGTACTTTATTCCCAAGGGAAAATTACATGTGTTTACATGTATCCTTGGTTAAAATACTTTTAAAAAAACCTATACCATTATTTAGTGAGTAATGTTTGAAACCAAACAGAATAACCCAACAGTGTATTTTACAAATAGTACAAGATTCATAAAATACAAGAAAAAAAGAAACCTCAGCATTATATAAGAAGAAACGGAGTGGACAATTCTAAATACAATAGGCCACTTAATAAGGTAACCATCTAGAAATCTAGCACATAATGTCTGAGACTCAAATATCATAATACTAAAAATTTCAGTCTTTACAAAATAAAGACCCTTATATTTACAATTCTCACTTTTAAATACAAATTTCGTACAATAGTTAAATTTAAGAATTAAGAACAATCCTTCAATAATCACATTAATATTATTTTTGCAACAATATAAGGCAAACACATATCTTTATGTCTAACCACCTATTTCTCTATTCTAGTTCCACAACATAAAAATAACAGCAGACAGACAATCAATAATGGCAAACATTTAAGCAGGGGGGCATTTATTACATTAGGATTATCAGTAACAGGTATTTGAACTTTCTTCATTTTTACAATTAAATTTAACTGGTATATAAAAACAAAAAGCATATAGCTTATAGGGTGCCATGTAATTTTTTGAAATACATACATGTTACTCAGTATTTAAATTGAATTATCTTAAAATTTTATTTTACGGTAAAAATATTGAAATGTAAATTTTAGAAGACTAAAGATAGAATGTGCTTTGTAAGACAATGGGAAGTTATCACTTATCTGAAAAACTGAAAATGGCTCTTTGGTGAAGTTGGCAAGATCAAAACTTAAACTAAGGTTGTAGTGTGTATGGAACTAGCATTAAGAAACATCTTTCAAAATTGCATGCAAAATTGTATATATACAGTACCAAGTGGTTTATCTGACCATAGACTGAAGATACTGAAGCAAGGTAAAGGGATTTTTTTTTCTGAGGCTGGGGTGTTCTCATCAAAAAAGACTTGAAGGATTATCTGTAAATACAGGAGGTAACTTAGCTCTGATTAAAAAAAAAATCAACACAAACTCCAAGAATACCTCATAAGAAATTAGATGTTTTCAAGACTGTATATACTCTTATGTGTGAAAGATGAACATTTTGGCATTCTAATACTTATCAAATACTATCTATTTTAAAGTAGGACAACACATTAAATGGAATTTTGATAAACTTTGCAACTGAAGCCTAATTTCAAAGAAAAATGAGAGCACAATGTTATTACGATAATCACAATGCTGACAGCCAACTCAATTCTTTGCCTCAGTAATCCTAAATTCTTTGTATGAATGAGTACAATTTCAGCAACTTTCCCCATTAAATAATGGAATGTGAGAGTTATCATTCCTCAGTGACATTCAGATTATCTAAACTGCCTACAATTTAGATAACTTTCTACAGGAAATTAGAATCTCAAATCCAAGGGTCTGGTATTTTCCAGGAAGTCCACCAGTGAAAAGGGAAATTTAGATTTGTTTTATTGAGGGTTTGTTGGGGAAGTCCTGTTATTTGCCTGTGCATTTGTCAATAAAGTACTGTCTGGCCAATAGAAAACCTAGATAGGAGGGACTAGGAGTCGAGGAGGATTCTGGGAAGGGGAAACACAAGAGAGTCGACATGTAACGCCGGGTAGGAGCCCGGAAACTTCTCCGGTAAGAAACATACTTAGATTAACAATTATGGGGTAATTACTTAAGGCAGAGCTAGCCAGTAAGAGACAAACAAGGCCAACAGCTTCATAATTAATATAGCCTCCTGTGTGTTTATTTGGGACTCATGCGGATCTAGAACCAGGCGGGCGGGAAGGCTCCTCTCAAAGAAAAAGCTTCTCTTAACAAGGGTTTCTTAATCTACCCAAATAAATAAAACTGAAAAGCAAGTATAAGTCAAATTGTTACACATTTGTTGTTATAAGGTAATTAAATTCTTCCTAAGAACGATATAACTCTCTTAACATATACATTTGTACCTATTTAACTTTTCCAAATTTTCATTTGAAAATGGAGATTCACAGTTCTAAGTAACCATATTATTGGGTAGGTCAGAATTTATCCAAATGCGACTGACTGCTTAATATTGATTTTAACATGTTCTTTCAACTTTATTCAAACAAAATATATTCAATTATCAATATCCCAGAAGTACTTAACATATTCAAAAATAAATTTCATGCTATCAAAAGGTGATGTTCACTTTAATCCTGTTTGCCTTCACGCCAATGTCTTGAACCTTCATTCCAGGCCACATAGACAAACAGGGCCAGCACCACATGAACAGCAACAACAGCAACAATTGCAGCATAAAAGTAGCTGTCTCTATTGGACATTCCGAGGGCACCTTCAAATACATAAGATTTAGTTGTAAAATACAACCCAGTAGGAACTGTGATCATTAAAGCTGTGATGAACAGGAGTGTCTTGATGGTTGAAGCTAAAGAGTTTTCATTTCTGAACTCTGGGGGCTGCAGCGCATTCAGCGCCGCTTTATCAAGGCGCTCCATGGCATGGCCGTGAGGGCAGCAGTAGGCACTAGGTAATTCCAGAAGTTACTTTTAGCCATGGCATTTTATGACAGCAATAAAATTCCTTACTAAGACAGTATGTGATAGAGAATTTTAAACACAACATAAATTCAAATTTCAAATGCTTAGTATGAATTAAAAATAATGACATGTAAAGAAAATGACATATATGCGAATTTGATAAAAAAAAAAGGTTAGTAAGCTTCTTGATTCACCAGATACTTGAACTTCCTGAATGTTTGTGTTTTGCTAACACATATCATGGTTCCTTAATTGTCAGAGCTTCCGTAAGTGGTCCAAAATGCAAATGGTGCACTGCAATGTTTATAAATTAAACCTACTGAGCGTGGTGCATAGAATGGCTTTGTCTCTGTTTAGAAGACTTGGAAATTTGATTGTGGTGGTACCCCTTGAGAGAGAAAGGAAAATAAGTTTCAGGTGTTGTTATTATTGTGCGTCTTCATAGTTGAGCCACATTCTACATGTTTAGGTTTCCATAGTGAGTATTGCAGAGTTCAGCGTGTGAAGTAAATTAGAGGTAATTTGGCACAGGTCATCGTGACCCAGTCTCAATTGTGACATTATTAAATTTTGTCTTCCTAAGCAAAACAAAGCACTGGGTTAATCATGCTTCTCTGAACTGATTTGAAGAATGAAGAGGAGGAGGGGAGGGAGTGGGAAGTGGGATTGGTGTGTAAAATGGGAAAGGGTTGTTTTAAAATAAGGAACATAAAAAAGAATAAACCAGCTGAGTAGGAACGAATCCTGTCATGAAATGAATTGGCTTTGGGGAAGCTGTAGGATGGGGAGCAGCTGGTCAGGGAACAGGGTCACTGCCTTGAGGATGATGCCATAGCCCACTCTGGACTTGAGGATGATGTCATAGCCCACTCTGGACTTGAGGATGATGTCATAGCCCACTCTGGACTTGAGGATGATGCCATAGCCCACTCTGGACTTGAGGATGATGTCATAGCCCACTCTGGACTTGAGGATGATGCCATAGTCCACTCTGGACTTGAGGATGATGCCATAGTCCCCTCTGGACTTCTTCCTCTTCCTCCCCCTCTCTTTGTCCTCCTCCCTTCCCTGCTCTTTACAGTGCCTGTCCTGCTTCTCCTCTCAAAAAACTGGTTATTCAGAAAATTTCATAAGCGTGAACCCAAGGAACCCAGAGACAGAGAGAGAGGAGCGATGAGCAAATTGGCAAAGAATGGGCTGGCAAAACCAGCAGAGACAGCTGATCTGAACAGGGGAGAGCTCTTGGACCCCAGACTGACAGCTGGGAGGCCAGCATGGGACTGATCCAGACCCCCTAAATGTGAGAGTCAGTGAGGAGGCTTGGGCAACCTATGGGGCCCTGAGCAGTGGATCAGTGTTTATCCCTCAAATACAAACAGTCACTGTGTGCCCATAATACAAAGAGGGATGCTCTCTCAGCCTGGACTCTTAGGGGAGTGCCTGAACCCTACCCTGAGTGAAATGACAGACTCTAGATATCCCCTCTGTGGAAGGAAATGGAGATAGATTAGGAGGATTGGGGGGGGATGGTGGGGGGATGCGGGAGGAGGGGAGGGAGAGGGAACTGGGATTGACATGTAAAACAAGCTATTTAAAATAAAAAAGCGTCTTTTTCTTAGCCCTTAATGACTAAAAATGCAGCCTCTGCTCTCACAGATTCCTATTCTAATCTTATGGACAGAATGCTTTTCATTTTGCAAATTTTACCTTCTATTCTTTTCTATGTTTGTTTCCAAATTATTAATTTCTTTGTTCTGTTTACTTGCTATAGATTTTGGTTTTGTGATTCTCGCCCCCCTCCCCCAAGTAGCAGAGGATGAAATTTTCAAACTCATGAACCATGTGTAGGTAAAGTTTGGAAGTAATGACCATGTGCTCTTTGCTGTGTGCAGGGAGGTGTAGCCTGTGGGGAAACTGAGAAAGCCACTCCAAAAAGGATGGGTGAGGTAGACCAGTTTCTCTTTAGCCAATGTTGTGGCTTGTGCTTGGATGCAAACACAGTGCCCCTTAGTGGGTAGACCATGTTTGAGAATAGAGGATCAGGCAAACATAGACCATGCAGATTTCTATTCTTTTCTCATTACTATCCTCTTCTCATCTTGACACTTAGCTGTTGTCTGGATTAGCAAAGATGGACCAGTGACCACCTTCCCAGAAGGCTTTGCTGCCTTCACTCTGTACCTTTCAGAAAACCAGTCATTAAGATCTTTGCTCAGGAAAAATTTTCTTTCCCTTTAGCGTTTTTTGTCACTGGTAATCCTTTTTCTTTTCTGGGTACTATTACACTGGGGACTTTGGAGACTGAGAGGGAGAGCTAAGTGCATTTAGTTCTTGATTACTACCAGAAGATTAAGTTTTTCAATGGTGGCAATGTTTACAATGCAAATTTTGTCCTTTTAAACTCACTGGGTAATCTGGTAAGAATTTTTCTAAAAATGGTAAATTCTGTACTTAGCATAATTTTCAGCTAATCACACAGACAAAGACAGGCACCACGAGCTGCACCTGACCAGAATATCAAGCACCTGAAACGGAATAAAATGATTTTGTGTGTGCCTTGGCATGTTCACACGTGTGGGCCCTCCTGTGAGCAGCTGAGCAGGTTACCAGGCATAAATAACACACAATGACTGGCATTGGAATGATAACAAAGTGGTCATGTTTTGAATTTTATGAAAAGAAATGCAATTCTTATCATGTCTCAGGATGGACCTATGACTTCTGTTTCACAACTTCCAGGGTTGGCATTCTATATTCTTGACAGGTATTTTAAGCTTGTGACAGTATAATTTCTTTTCCCACCGAGCAGTTCTAAGAAGCTAGTCTATTTTCCCCTTCCCAAGAGAAATCACTCCTATTCTACCTTTATGCAAGAAAAATCCTTTTCTCTATCTTGAGGTCAGCTTTCTGGAAGTCTCCATTTTTTTCTCTCCCTTTCATGCTTTTATTCCTATTCATGTGGATTTCTTATGAGGCCCTCCTGGGACACACCACCACCAACATTCTCTCTGAGTTTCCTTTACATCAAACATCACACCCATAAATATCACACCTCTCCCTCGTTTTACCATTTCCCCTATTCTCTCCAGGGCTAAATTTTTGTTGTCATTATCTAATATACTGCTAAGCTCTTAGACATAAGAAAAAATATTTCTGCATCAAGGTTATTCTGTAATCTGAAAGTCTATCTGTTAAAGCAAATTCTGAACCCAGGGAAAACTAGGAGTCTGTAGATAGCCACAGACCTACCTACTTTCAATGATTACACCAACTATTTTTCTTTCTGTTCTCTTCTGTTATATTCAGAAACACTGTTAGGTATTGGGATTCATAGCTGAATAAAACTTATATACTATTTTAGAAATTTGTAATTAGGTATGTGTGATATACAATATATATGCCATGTATTATTATATGTAACATTTATTGTTAGAAAAATAACTACTGAAGTCTATCCAACATGGTGCGACTACATCTCTCAGTTTTTATCCACCTAATTTGCTGTAATTTGTTTCCTCACTCCCTCCTTTCCCCCTATCCTTACTTTCCATGATTTCACTTCCTTCCTCTCTATGAAATAGTGCATTGTCTCCTTCCCAAACTGCTGAATGTGACCCTATTTGGACAAAGGGTCAGATGTCCAGTGAATTCCATCTTAAATGGAAAAGGGTCAGATATCTTTGTAGATCCAATGAAGTTAAGGAGCTTGTGATGAAACCATCTTAAGTTACACAACTAGATCCTAATTCTAGTGGCAAATGTCTTTGTAGATACAGAATTGTGATAAAATGGACACACAAAGTAGCTAGCTGTGTAAAGATGGCACCATAAACAGGACCCATGTGGCTACAAGCTTAGGTTGCCTAGGATGGTCAATAACCCCCAGAACTTGCAGGAAGCAAGGAGGAACATTTCTGTTCAGTACCATGGAAGGTGTGTAGTCCCATAAATACTTGCTTGTAGACTTCCTGCCTGTGAAATGATGGGAAAATACGTTTTTACCACTTTAAGCCACTTAGTTTTATATTACTCTTTTAAAGTGGCCTCAACAAAGGAACACAACAGGTGAGAGTAGGCCAAAGGTTAGAGAGTAGCTCTTCTTTCATTTACTTTATTGATAAAAATTTTTCTATTGGACACAAAATTATGTAAGTTGGTATGGAAAGTACAAAAGACATTCTCTTATGGATGGATAAAAATGTATGGACAGGGAGTTGAGAATTATGGAAGCTGAGAATTATGCCCATTTTTCCAGTACTGAGAAATCAGGTGAGTCCACAGACACGATGGTTATTTTCCTACGCGAAAGCATTATCAGTAACTACCTGGATGTAAACAAATGTGCATGTGGGTATGTATGACATAGAAAAGAGAAAAGAGAGGTTAAATATTAAGTGGTAAGGAAGGGTTATGGACAGGAGTTACGAAAGAGGGTATGAACCTAATTGTTTTTTTCTGGCATGAGCCCTTTCGTTTTGGGTGGCAGATAAGCACATGAAACATACATTCCGTAATAGAAATGTGGGAGGCAGTCTGAATGAAGCTCAACAGCTTCTGAATGGCTTTTCCAACTGTCTAAAAGTTCCCTGAGATACACAGGCCTCAGGGCTGGTTCATTTCAGCGTGCGATGGTTTTTATGATAAAGTTTATAAAACTGTAAAACAATGTTAGAATTATTTACTGTGTATGTGATGGGTATGTGTGTGCATCATGATACATGTGTACAGGTCAGTGGCTACTTTGTGGAGTGGTTCTGTGTGTTTACCTTTATGTAGGAACTGGGGATGGGGCTTAGGTGGTAAGCCTCTATGAGCTAAGCCATTCTTCTGGTCCCCTCTAGCTTCTTAAAGAGGCTTTCCTAAAGTGATATTCTAATTTTATTATTTCAATTACCAAACATGTTCATTACAAATGCAAAGAAAATGCTGTTTTTATACTCAGAGGCTAAATGTTAATTGATAACACCATTTATTGCCATATGGTTGG